GCATTCATCCTTCCCTTGATTGCAACCAGTCGTCCTGTCCCTGCAGCTGAAAAACACCCCCATAGCATGATGCTGCCACCACCATGCTTCACTGTTGGGACTGTATTGGACAGGTGATGAGCAGTGCCTGGTTTTCTTCACACATACCACTTAGAATTAAGGCCAAAAATTTCTATCTTGGTCTCATCAGACCAGAGAATCTTATTTCTCACCATCTTGGAGTCCTTCAGGTGTTTTTTAGCAAACTGCATGCGGGCTTTCATGTGTCTTGCACTGAGGAGAGGCTTCCGTTGGGCCACTCTGCCCTAAAGCCCCGACTGGTGGAGGGCTGCAGTGATGGTTGACTTTCTTTGACTTTCTACAACTTTCTCCCATCTCCTGACTGCATCTCTGGAGCTCAGCTACAGTCATCTTTGGGTTCTTCTGTACCTCTCTCACCAAGGCTCTTCTCCCCCGATAGCTCAGTTTGGCCTGACGGCCAGCTCTAGGAAGGGTTCTGGTCGTCCCAAACGTCTTCCATTTAAGGATTATGGAGGCCCCTGTGCTCTTAGGAACCTTAAGTGCAGCAGAATTTTTTTTTGTAACCTTGGCCAGATCTGTGCTTTGCCACAATTCTGTCTCTGAGCTCTTCAGGCAGTTCCTTTGACCTCATGATTCTCATTTGCTCTGACATGCACTGTGAGCTGTAGGGTCTTATATAGACAGGTGTGTGGCTTTTCCTAATCACGTCCAATCAGTATAATCAAACACAGCTGGACTCAAATGAAGGTGTAGAACCATCTCAGGGATGATCAGAAGAAATGGACAGCACCTAAGTTAAATATACTGTATGAGTGTCACAGCAAAGGGTCTGAATACTTATGACCATGTGATATTTCAGTTTTTCTTTTTTAATAAATCTGCAAAAATGTCAAACATTCTGTGTTTTTCTGTCAATATGGGGTGCTGTGTGTACATTAATGAGGAAAAAAATTAACAAATGATTTTAGCATATGGCTGCAATATAACAAAGAGTGAAAAATTTAAGGGGGTCTGAATACTTTCCGTACCCATTGTAGCTCCTAGGATCAATCGGGTACTCAAACCTCTCCACCACAATAAGGTGGTGGTTCAAGGAGGGGGAGATCATTTTATATAGATCTATTAGTGTTATTAATGGCCTGGCGATATGAAGCGCTGATAACACAGAAACTACAGATCCCATAATGCGGTGCTTAGGCTGCCTTGCCAAATGCTAGGCTACCAAAAAACATTCCCACGTCAATCGAGTCAAGCTTCTGTTTATGTATACAACCTTATTGTAAAGTTATTGCAAAGCTAACCCGAAGGGAAAAGTTGATTCTGAAAACAGAGCCTTTCAAAACCGGTGGGAGGCTGAGTATATGTTTACTGACATTGCCGGTAAACCCGTGTGTCTTATTTGTGGAACTAATGTGGCTGTAATTAAGGAATTTAATCTAAGATGGCACTACGAGACAAAACATCACGATAAGCTGAAAAACCTGAATGCAGAGCAGAAGATACAGGAAGTAGAAGAGTTAAGAAGAATCTGACATTTCAGCAGACGTTTTTCACCAGAGCAAAATCAAAAAAGTGAAGCTGCTGTGAAAGCGAGTTTCATTGCGGCAGAGGAGATAGCCAAATCAGCTCGGCCATTTACCGAGGGAGAGTTTTGGAAGAGCTGCATGATGAAGGTGTGTGACGTGTTGTGTCCAGATAGCAAAGCAGGTGTTTACAAATGTAAGCCTGAGTAGAAATACGGTTGTTGATCGGGTTTGTAAGATGGCTACTGATTTAACCCTCTGGAGTTCTTCAGGGACAAACTTGGGTTTTGCATTTTTCTTTTTCAAGCCATTTTGGCTGTTTTGAATGAATGTAGCTCAAATTTGCTACAGGATATTTATTTTTTAAAAACTTAAAAAATACTTTTCCACTGTTTTTTGTATTAGGGTGACTTGCTAATAATGCATGAAAATGATAGCGTGTATCACTACTGATGATATATCAATGCATTTTTGTCTGTGTGAATATACGCGAGTATGTCCGCGCATGCATGCATGTGCGCGTGCACACGTATACGTAACAACAACCAAGTAGTTGTGTGTCAGTCCAACTTCATAAGTGTTTTCCTTTAGAAGGCCACATTTTGTATTTTATAATAATTCAAGATGAGAAACTCTGTGCATTGTGGGGGCGTTCGTGAGTGTCCGACTTCATAAGTGTTTTCTAAGAGAAGGTCGGACTCTATAAACAATGCAAGATGAGAAGACAAAATTGGACTTTGGGTTTTCAAGTTTGAGTTGTGTATGCAGGTGCACTACAGCCAAAGGTATAAGTATGAGCAGTAGTGCGGGAGTAGTCTGTAGCATTAGTAGGTGGAAAGATGGCATGTTTCAGCGCAAGAGAAGCTTTGGATGAAATAATGCAGAGCGAGAGTGAGAAAGGCACTTCGTCCTCCACTGAGGACTCTGAGATCTCCTCAGTGTCAACCTCTGAGGTAGACCCGGGCCCAGCAGAGGAGTCTTCACGTGACAGCGCAAGTGAGATGGAGGAAGCAGCTGAGCAAGCTTGGGCTTCCAAGGTTGGAAGGATACTCTGGTCCCCCATGAATGGTGAGACACTGCAGTATGTTCCAGCCGCCACCGGTTTGGTGCCAGGACCCACAACTATCGCTGTGGCCCACATCACCGACCCGTTGTCCAGCTTTGGTCTGCTGCTCACTGATGGGATCCTGGAGCATATTGTTGCAATGACCAATCTGCATGGGAGACGCTCGGCGGGTGAGTGGCGTGATTTAGATGGGGTTGAACTGCAGGCTTATGTGGGACTTTTCATTTTGACCGGGGAATACAGGTCCAGAGGCAAATCAATCCTCAGTCTGTGGAATGAGAAAACTGGACGGACCATTTTCAAAGCAACCATGTCACACAAGCGGTTTCATCAGATCTGCAGAGCCCTGCCCTTCGATGACAAACTGACCCGACCCCGGCGTAGCAGCGAGGACAAGCTGGCTGCATTTCGCCAGGTGTGGGATATGTGGACACAGCAGCTCCTGATGTCATTCAACCCAGACAGAGACATCTGTGTTGATGAGCAACTAGTACCTTTCAGGGGGAGATGCAAGTTTAGGCAATACATGCCGAAAAAGCCGGCTAAATATGGACTGAAGATTTGGGTAACATGCGATGCGAAAACATCCTACACCTGGAAACTACAGGTATTTTTCCACTGATCCTATTTATTTTGTTGTAGTTATTTATTGTGACTTTATTCTGCACATGTAAAATACTTTGATCAAGTGGATGTTGACTTGATTTGATTTAATTTGATTTAGGTATTTACAGGCAAAACAGCCAGCACTCCCGAGATCAACCAGGGGAAGCAGGTGGTCCTGGAGCTAACAGAGGGGCTCCAAGGACACACTTGTCACCTGTGACAACTTCTTCACTTCATTTGGACTGGCAGAGGAGCTGTTGAAGAAGAAGCTCTCCCTGGTTGGCACCATCCAGAGGAACAAACCCGAGCTTCCTCTTCAGTTGCTCCAGACAAAAGGGAGAGCGATGCATTCCTCAACATTCACCTTCACAAGAACCCACACCGTCGTGTCTTACATCCCCCGACAGTCCCGGAATGTGCTCCTCCTGAGCACAAAGCACCGCGCCCTACATGTCAACGAGGAACCGAAGAGGAAGCCCGTAATTGTCCAGGATTACAACAGGTGCAAAGGAGGAGTGGACAACCTGGATAAGGTGGGTGCCATTATGCATCTGTTACACACATTTATTTATTCTTGTCTAAAATATATGTAGATTCTTTTTTCAAAAGAAGCATTTTCAAATAAAATGTGTTTCATGAGAAAGAATACTTGGATCACTTATTCATATTATCTTGTTTTATGTTTGTGGCTTTTTGTTAGGTCGTCAGCATGTACTCCTGCCGGAGGAGAGTGAACCAGTGGCCGCTTGCTCTATTCCATAATCTTCTGGACATTTCCCTTTATAATGCCTTAATCCTGTGGACAGCAGTCGAGCCGGCCTGGAAATGGCAGAAGTCTCACAGGAGGAGGCTCTTCATTGAAGAAGTCCGGGAAGGGCTGGTGACACCCAACATCATTGGCGAGTGCACCGCCCCCGCTCAGCAGCCGCTGCAAGTGTGGGGGCCGACCCGCCGGGGACCGCC